GTGAAAGGTCGAGTGTATGCTGCCGCAGTTCGGCCAGTCCTGCTATAAGGCGCAAAAACTTGGCCATTAGGAAAACAGGATAAGGATAGAGTGGCGGTGTTTGAACACCGCTGTCTACGCAGCATTGCACGAATCTGGAGTAACCAGACGAGCAAGGTTGAGCTTAGGCGCGAAATTTTAGATAACCGCGGTAGCCCACTGGAGCAAATGGTCGACCTCCATGGATCAAGTTGGCTGGGGAATGTTTTGCGCATGTCACTAAATAGGTTGCCACGGCGAGCGGTGTTTGCCCAGCCAGGTAGCGGTTGGAAAAATATAAAGGGTGGTCAAACGAAGACCTGGCATGAAGGTATGAAAACCCTGACCAGGAGTCTTTTATCTTCATCTTTTTGTTTAACTTCTTTTTATTGAATATGCAATGGCACAATATTCAGGAAGGGAGAAGTGCCAATCAAAGGGCTGCCATTCAACACACAATGGGCAAAGTCAGGTGGTAGTGGTGGGATTCGAACACATCCCCGGGGGTGATAATTCGGTGACGTTACCATCGGGCCACCACTGCCCTGGGTCACATAGGTCCCGTTAGGCTCCCTGAATGGGGACCTCGGGATGATGGTCACCGATGGTTAGAGACACTGAATGATACGGCTGGTTGTCGTGAACAGTGGTGTTTGTGCATTTTCTTAATTTCTTTGCAGCTATAATTTACTGGAGTTCTCAATTTTTTCTTCGACTCTACCCTCAACTTTCCTGTCCTTCTCGTATTCTTCATCCAAAAGGGAAACCAAAGGACAGCAAGCAAAACCGCCGCACAATAGTGCATGGTTAATGGTTGTACAAAGTGAACTGAACTGAATGAATTTGCTTAGCACGGAATGGTTTCCGAAGGCTTCAGTCTGGTCGGGGTGGGTGTCTGATTGCGGTTGGTCGCCCCATTCTCGCACCCCGTGAAATGTTCCCATACGACCTTCCTTCCTCTGTCACAGCAAACGGGAAGTGATATGCCCACATAACCTATGAACGCATTCTACAGATTTTTTCCATATGTTATGGCACATTTGAGGGTTCCATGTAAGTGGTTACGTGTTGTAAAAGATGCTATGGAACTTTCATTACGACGCTTGTCAAGGAGCTGAGGGTACCACTTATTTCTGCGTTGTGGTTTAATCGTCGCCAAATAGCAATAGAGTCCAATGTCTACAGGAGAAAGAAGAAAGTGTAAAACCCGAAGCTGAGGGTAACAGTTGACGTCTGGTGATTTTACTCAGAATATGCGTTTTACCATAGCACAAAAATAACACTAAATACGTTTTGAACAGGGTTTGTGTTACGTTGTGGCCTCCACAAAACCCTTTTTTAAATAATCTGGTCACCACCATGAAGAAGCTTTATCTAGACATTATAAATTATAAGTCTTGGAGATGGTTATTTACAAATAAGTTTACACTCTACTACAGTGGGTCATGCGTTGTTTCGTTTCGCGGGTGAAAAAGTGAGGAATTGATTTAGAACGTCAAATGGTATGTGACACTATTGTCTAGGAACACAACTGATTAATTTAAAAAAAGAGGTTCAAATCAGTATATGGCAGTTGAAGGAGATGAGGTGAGCATGGCGACTGTGCATATGTTAAGTTAAAATAGCTCTTTGTAGACACCTGAGGAATCAATTAGATATGGATATGTCTTTTGATGATCTTGCTTGAATGGCAGAAACGTGTGCCCATAGGTGAGGAATAAGGTTCATGTAAGAGACCTACATGTACACAGTAACGGTGAACCATAATTGAATTGACTACTGGTAAGCACCAAATTGGTTAGTTAATGAGTGCGGTTATCAAAAGTTATTCCACTTCTTTGATTTGAACGTATACACACCGCCGGTAAGATTACCACAAAATAGTTCAGTTCATGACGTGTATATAGTATGCTTCTTCTTGCTCTCGCGAAACTACTGAAGGCAACTAGTTGGATGGAACAATTAGAGCCACTTTCGAATGACAAGTACTTGTTTGATAACACACCTTGTAAAACGATCAGCCCCAAGGGCCAACCGGTAAAAACAAGCTCTCGAGTTTGAGGTGACAAATTACAAAGTAGGATGAATGTGATGATGCGCCAGGTGACAGTGAATCTATTTACCGCAAAAGTAGGATGAAAGCAACAGGGTTGGAAATTTGAACCTTAGGGTCGAATCGACTGAACGTTGACATCGGCAAGGCATAACCTTATCTAAATTTGAACTCCGGTTAGGTCAAAAAGGAATACATCTCGATATAGTGAGCCGGGAAAGAAATCAAACCGGGTCTGGCGTCAATATATTGTCGCCTGGTTTCACGGAACACGGTACACACTTTCCCCATTTTTAAGCGCAAACAGCATATACGATAAAACAGCAAGTGACCAAATGATAAAAAAGAGTAGATGCGCAAGAAGTTCACCGCTTGGGCATAGGTAGGGCTGACATGGAGTTGGTACTGAGAGCTCAGCCATTGTTTGCTTCTTTGAGAACAAAGTACACAATGAATGATGCATGGTTAAATATTGCGATCAAAAGAGACTTACTTGAACAAAGTCAATGTCCAAAACGATGTCTCAATTTGGAGATGTCACAAAGTTACCTACATAGTCATAAATCTACAGTGAAAATAGGCAAACTGTCTAACAGTGAATCGTGACGGTAAACCGCAATTATCAAATCACTCACGGATGAGGCGACTAGGACATTGATTTGACCTCGACGAAATTGGTCCAGAACTTTGGTCCGATGCACCTGAGCCTTATCACCATGAATGGCTGCTGAATGTAAATTCTTTCTGCAAAGTGCATTATTTATGTGATCGACCTCTCTCTTTGTATTGCAGAATACTAAAATTCGACACTGTTCATGGGTGGGATTCATACTTGTCTCCGCGTCCGATTCTTCAACCGAAGAGGCAGAGTCTGTAATTGTAAAACGAACAAGTCTCAAATGAGGCACCAGAACAAAAACGTGGAATATGCATTGCTCGGTATGATCACACGAATGGGAATGACTGACTGGCCGAAGCCTAGGATAAAATAAACACAGAAGAAATAAACTGTTCAGCAGATATTAGTGGCATTCACCCCACCCCATACACACGCGTGCGCATTAAAGAACACGACGCGACTATCCTAAGCGCTTCAATCTGATTTGTATGATAAATGTTAAGCTTAGTTCAGTTCGGACAACCATTAACCATGCACTTTCGTGCGCCAATTTTGGTTGCTGTCTTTTGGCTGCCCATTTGGATGAACAGTAGAAGAACCAGAAAGTTGGAAGTACAGTCGAATAGAAAATGGAGAAGTTTAGAGGATTAATGTTCCAAAGAAACTGAGATACACGAACACCAATGTTTACGCCACTAAGCCATATCACTCAGTGTCTCTAACCATCAGTTACGACCATCCCGAGGTCCCTATCCAGAGAGCCCAACGGGGCCTATGTGAGCCAGTCTCCTGGTTGCTGACCGTTGTACACTAGGCCAGAACCGAGAGAACGAAACCGCGGTTTTTTACTTTTCACGGATTTTAAAAACAGAGTGATACATTCTGCAAAATGACCGCCTATTGAGAGACATTCCCAATAAAATTTCTTTAAACTAATCCCTTTGTATAAGTCATTTGAAGAGACGGAGTAGTTAGTAGACACCAGTAGGTAAACCCTTTCCATCCCTTTGTCCACGCGAAAAATACAAATAACAATGCTATAAAGCCAGCGCTGAACGGCTCCCAACGAAGCGGTCAGAAAGATTAAACTGTGCAGTTTGTGATTTGATAAGAATTTGCATATGGAGAGGCCGTTTCCCCTGTCACGATTGCACACCCGGTATTCTTCTGTCAAGTAAATCCCACATTTGGACTCTCGCCAAGGATTAATTCACAATATCCGCATTCGCCACTCACAGGTCTCGAACTGTCTAAAAAATAACTTCTGAGATGTTGATGAGGATATGGTTGCTAACCAAGTATTTGATTATTAAACTCGTGCAAGGGTATCTTTCTATGGTGACGTAATTTACCGGTTGTCCACTAAGAAACATGTATCCTATGTAGTATTTCGTCAGAGAGTTAGATTTCATTGAACTTGGAAAAACATCGGTTGTATTCCTGTGGGATACACGGTATCTGATACGTAACAAAGGTGAGTTCTGGCGTGAACAAAATACAATTGTTTAGAAACAGGATAACTCCGAATGAAACAATTGAATGGAAAGAGGTCAGTGTAAGAGGACAGAAACAATGAAGGTGAAAAATGTAAGGGAGACTAATATGGAATTGGATAGTAAAAAGGAATCTATTACTACCAATATGCATCCAGATAACGGTTAGATGCCTACTGCTGATAATCTTTTTGTTTTGTTCAGGGTTAGAGGTTAGCACTATATGATATTGACAACTTTTGCAGTAAAGATTGAATAAACCAGTTATGGACATCTCCGCTACATTCTCTCATCTCCCTTAAAATTCACGTAATAACAACTTTTTACAGCGAACTTTCCTTTTCATTGAAACAGTTTAAACGTAAAGCAGATTTACTCGAACAGATCATCCGTCTTCTAGTTAAACAGAGGACTTCTGCAGGTAGCTTTCTTACGTTTCAGTCATATATGTTAACCTAACAAGACAGGAATGATCTGATGTAATGTGGAATCATCGAAGCTTCAGAAACGGATGTGCGACTTCTGAAGTCATGATGATGATGTGCCTAGCCTGGTTATTAAACGTCTGCAACCAGCATCTTCTAGCTCGGAGCGCGCATCAACATCAGCAAGAAAAATCGGTTAACAGCAATAGTAAAAGCAAGTAGAAGGGATACAATGTGAAGTTGATGTTTTCACATGGGGTTTCTTAACACCAGGTAATTTTGAGGTAAAAATGACATTAATCCAACCGAAGAGCGTGTTTACCGGTCAAAATCCAACTAATAGGTGGTGTTACCATGAAGGAGATCGTGCAATGGACAGAAAAACGAACCTGCGGAGTTATGGTCCTCTATTAATTCGGTAATCCTTTGTATGAGATAATCGTGAAGACCACCACCATGCGAACTGGACGGCACGGCCTCAAATTTCTGGCTAATCTCACGCGGAATGATACGACTGAGTCTTTTCAGTTCATCATCAGGACTAGCTCGTCGCGCTGTTTTGCCCCAATCGGGCACGACAGTGCCTGATTCTTCACAAAGATCACATAATGTGAGCGAGATACATCGAGAACCGCGAAGGAAACTTCGAGCCAATAAAGTCACCTCTCGTGGGAATGTGGCACTATACAGGCAGGTCTGACGCTCGGAGTCCTTCGGGGAGGGCATGCCAAAATCCGGTGCCTCTAAAATTTCTCTCAGTTGCTCTTCGAATCCCATGTCCAGCATGCGATCAGCTTCATCAAGGACCAAAGAACTGGGAAAGACGCGGTAAATAAAAGGTCAAATGAATGAGGTTGGGTCTATGGTAAGTGCTGCAGTAACTACATCTACCACATAACAAATGGTGATTATTTCATTCAAAATGTGAACACCTGAGCGATCTACCTGGATCCATCCCAGTACCAAGAGAGACAAAGAGAGCGAAACTACGAAGAGCATCGTCACGAAGAAACTCAAGGAAAATTACTTGTGAACTTACCTATACGAGGTTATGAATCCTTTCGTGCGTATATTAGCGGATCTCGTGTTTTGGGAATTCATTTATTGTTCATGACTCTGAGACACGTATTGATGAGGAACAAGAACATGGCTTTCTCATTGTTCTTTCCTACTTTTTGTAAGTGACATTCATCAACGTGATGATAAGACAGTTTCCTGGATCTATCCGTAGGAGCAAAGCACAAAATGGCATTCCCAGCCCTGATCGACTTTTTTCTTCGAGGTGCCCCTAACCCTTGTGCAAATAAATGCTACTTCTGCGGCAACAGCGTGTTTACGGCTAAACGGGACTCGTAGAGATCGCTTGTCCGACAAAAACCAGAAATGTGCCCGGGTATCACTGCTGATCACCCCACCCCACCCCCCATGGTTTACTCTGCGAAGTAATGCCCCCTTACTCATGGTGAACCATTCCAATGGCTGTCCTTCAATCTACAACCTGCTGGAACTTTTCGACAATGCAGATTGATGAGAATCAAAATGTATGACAAGTACACTAAACGAGAATTTTCCTTAGTTGAATACTGACAAGAACAGTTAGTCTAGCCCGATCTTGGTAAGACTGAAAAGTTAAAAAAAAAATGCAAAATACGATGGACGAAGAATAAAGTAAACCTACCGACAATGGTCCAGTCTCAGTACGTTTTGATGCAGAAAATCCAAAAGTCGTCCAGGTGTAGCAACTATCAGATGACAACCAAGCGATACCTGATGTAACTGTCTTGGAGGACGTTCTCCGCCGAACAGACAGACAGGACGAAGAAAAGATCGATAGCACAACTGTAGCCGAAATAAAAGATTAGGATATGGTGAGCCTACCTTTGATAATTCAGAAAGTATCTGTTGCACTAACTCACGTGTTGGAGCCAGTATCAACGAGGAGGGAAACTGACAATCTGCTTCTTTCTGAAGGGAGATAAGGAAAAGGATTGTGGTTGTAGGAGGGAGTGTAAACAAGAGAAAAATAGTTGTCCCAGATATCAGAGGACGTTTGTTCGCCCGTCGCTTATTACAAAATAGTGCAGATTGAATAACTGTATGCATTCAAAACGAAGTTTACTTAAATGCTCGAATTCGCAAGTTACTCTTTTATTTTTAATTTATTTTGTCGAATACCTAGTGATAAAATTTTCAGGAAGAGGGAAGCGGCCAATCAAAGGGCTGCTATATGCCACACTATGGGGAAAGTCAGGTGGTAGTGATGGGATTCGAACACGTCCTCCGGGCCACCATCGAGTTGTGTTAGACAATTTTGGTTAACAATTTTTTATTTGTACGGTCCGGTAATTTAATAGAACGAAGTCCACACATGTTGTGTTGTGCTGAACTTTGTAGGATAAGACAGAATTTCTGATCGGGTGTTATATGATAACAGCCCCGT